TACTTCTGCCAGACATTCAGTTAACAGCAAAACTCACTTCGGAGAATCTGTTAGAAACGCACCTTTGCATTTAGAACCACATAGAGGGGGGACTATGATGTTTGTGTCCTTTTTAATGTTATCATTATACATGTAAAGCTAAATTTAGGATAAATATGATCTCTATAAAATATGCAGACTTACAGCAATAATCAATAATTTTCAATTTACCATTGATTGAATTAGTATTGTTGAATGTCATACGTCTTGTGTTTACATTTGAATACGTCTTAAAATAAAAGATTTGAAGAGGAATAAATAAATTGATTGTTGCACATATAATTTGTTTCATTGCATTTGTTGTTGTCGTGTCATTCCCTTCGGGAAGAAAGGAAAACTGCCAGAGCCACGTTCGACTTCTACACGATAGATAGCGACACTACCTATCTCCACCTCCACAATCTAGACATGGGATAAAAGGGACAGAAACATTCTGCAGGACCCGTGATTTCTGCTGCGGCGTCCCACTAGACCAGGGGTGGCGAACCCTTATGAGTCAACGTGCCATTTTTTCTAAAAAAATGCTCAATGAGGTATAGGCGTGCCGTCAAATAATTTTGACTTGGGATTATTGGGAAAATAATAAAACTAAACACTAACAACACATATCTTTTTATTTACTACAGAAAAATACATTTTGTATTTTATAGTAATAAATGTTTTAGTTAAACGTGTAATTCAAATTATATAAAGTAACATTAGTGTGATTTCTGCTGTTTCAGATTAGATGACAAATAAATTATGTAAGGTTTAGGTAAGATATTACTTTTAGCACAGTGCAGGGATGGTGAACCATTGGCACGCGTGCCATTGATGGCAAGCGGCACAACATTTTGGACATGCCATCGATCAAAACGATCAACCGCGATTGATCAATTGGAGTCATCTGCCAAATGGTTTCTATGCGAGTCTTTAATTTTATTCATCTCTGAAAATAATGACTCGTAGGCACAGGTCGATGAAAGTATGGTTATTATAACATGAGCTTGCTTCTTAAAACAGTTAAACGTGTCTGGGATCAAATTTATTGTTTCCAAAAAATTTCGTTATTGGCATTTTTACTTATATTGCTTTCTAATCTTTCTTTTTCAATCAATTCTAACTTTTTTCCTTGTTTCAATACATTTTTGAATCCTTATTGAACTAGGTTAGAAATTAATAAGTTGCATTTCAAATTCTTCAATTTCCATCCAATCGAATTGTGGCAAGTTCAGTTTATAAAATGATCTCACATCAGGGTACATAATACACTTGAGCATTTCTGATAATTCTTTGAACTGCGAAAATCTCACTGAAAATTCATTGATTGAAGAATCAATCACGGTTGATCGTTTTGATCGATGGCGTGCCCAAAATGTTGTGCCGCGTGCCATCAATGGCACGCGTGCCAATGGTTCGCCATCCCTGCACTAGACTTTCGGACCCACTGATTTAACGAGCACGAACTCCGTGTGTACTCGGAGGGTATTTGTTGGGATCGGCAACGATACCAGGCCCTACGGTCTGTAGTCCGATGCTCTAATCGCAAGACTATCCACGGCCTTTCTTTTCATTTCAAATGTGATTATTTTAGGATGTATAGAGATTGTTATCCTATATTTAAGAAGATAAAGAATAAAATTTTTTCTTGTAAGAAATAGGATTTCTTGTAGGAATCGTAATATTAATATTACAATTTCTTTACTTCTTTTTCATGTAAATATACATTGATTTTTTATGCATAAATAAAGCAAATAAAAAGATAACTAGTTATATTCAAAAACAAAACAACTTCCCATAAGGAAATTAAATTTCGTTCATAGCTCCAAGCCAGCGATTACCCTAGTGCAGTTGTTTCTCAAACTGTGGGGCGCGCCCCCCTGGAGGGGCGTGATAACCCTACGAGGGGGGCGCGAGCATGTCATAAAGTCGAGAATAAATGGTTATTTTTAAAAAATAGCTTAAAGAAAGCAAAATAAAATACTTTCTGACATAATAAAAATACACAATGCTCTTTAATTGTTATTTGTTCCAATTTAAAAATTAGAAAAGAAAAGCAATATAATACTTTTCTTATTACTTAAAAGTATATATATATATATATATAATTTATTTAGAATATCTATTACTTAAAAATAACGTAATTTAAAAACTTATTACTTGAAAGTAATATATATAAAATTTTATACTTATCTTGATAATTTGATTGGCTTATAATTAAGATCGTACCGTAATTTTGGCGTCAAAGTACATTATTATTGTATTCAATACATTGTTATTGTATAGAAGGGGGGGGCGAGGAAAATCATAATTGAAAATTGGGTCGCCAGTATTGAAAGTTTTTGACGCACTGCCCTAGTAATCTTTTCCTATTCCCAAGGGGGGTTTACTATCTTTGGTAAATACGGTTCTCACGAACCTGGGGTACCCTAGTGATCCTTCTCTATTTTCGACCCTCCTTCTTGTCATTCAATTTATCCTTTCTTTCTTTCTTTTCCCGTCTAGATCACAGATTTTCACAAATGTTTGGCGCAGTATAGCCAGATTTGGCTCTTGCGCCATAAAATCTGACATTCATTCATTCATTCCAAGCCAGCGATACTCAACCATCGGCCCACCGAGCCTTTTTAAATGGCCCGGCCATGACCCATTACTGTTAGAAATTCACTTCTTTAAGAAATTTGGTTGGAAATTCTTTGTCAAGAAATCAAATACATAAATTTTGCTTTTTGCTGTTGGTGTCGTGCAGATACTAATTGATATTATTTTTTTTTTCGAATGGTTATGGTTCGTGATAACAGAGAACAGTGGATTAGAGACAATTTTATGGGTGGAACAAATTTTTAATTATCTTTCATCACTTGCAATCGAAAAGTATTTGAAGAAAATATATCGGTTCAAGACGATTGGGAGGTCGACTATTTTTTAGTGGAAGACAAACAGGGATCTTCCACGAAGATCTCTTTCAAGAGGTGATAAATAAGCTTTCTTGAATAATCTTTGCAACATCAACAAAATGTTTTGTCAGTGAAACAAAACATGAAGGGAAACAGCGGAAACAAAGACATATTATGAAGTGTGTTATATTATTGGAAATCATATGAAACCATTTACTCTGATGCAGAAATTGTGAATGAGTATCTTAAATGCTTCTAATTTAGTGTTTGTGACAAAAATAAAAAAATATATAAAAAACAGAGATCAGGAGTTATAATATTTTAATCAATTTCCCACATTTTATATTTCCAATGTTACCTCGGTCTTAAAGCATTTCTCTCCACCCCCTTCCCCCATTTATTCTCATGTTGCGGCCTGCGTGAAATAAGTAACATATCTATGTGGCCCGCGTAAAATAGCTGACATATATATGCGGCCGAGCAGGAAAAAAAGGTTGAATACTTCTGCTCTAAGCCATTTAGGCTCATTGTAGTTGTCCAGCGGTCATGTTCTCAAGCTCGAGCCTTTGTGCCAAAAAATGCGTTCAAATTTGTCACGTCAAATACAGATACGGAGGACCATTAACGACCTACCTCGTAATTTTGTATCTCTATCGAGTGACGAGTGGCCACAGTAGCCTAGTGGTCAAGACATCGGATCATGGCTGGCATGTCATGAGTTCGAGCTCAGTACCACTAAAGACCCACCGTGTAGGGACTCTATGTACATTAAATCTGTCGAGAGCTCAAACGTCCTCCCGTTGGTGTGGTGTAATAGTTAGGAGAAGGGGGAGCCAGCTCAAGTGTCGTCCACGTCACTTGACCATGGTTCAAAATTACGTGGTCTGTCGCCAAAAGCCCTCGAGTAGCTTAACAGTGCGACGCTAATATTCACTCACTTGTGCCACTAAAGACCAGAATTGTTGAGGTACTGATGTATGTTACATCTGTCGTGACTCAAAGTCTTCCCATGAGTGTGGTGTGGTAGTTTGGAGAGAGGGGTATCATCTCAGGTGTTGTCCTCGTCACTTAACTGTGGTTCAGAACTGCAAGGACCTTCGCCAATCGCCCTCGTGTTTCTTCACAGTGTGACGTAAATTAAAAATCAAATCACATCAAACTAAATCAATCAAAATTTATTTTTTATTTGAACTTTTTCATCCAGTATCCAATTAAAAAATTATCTTTCTTATAATTTTTTAAAACCAGCAATAATTTATTGCCTTGATATAGCCCAATATTTTTTCTCGTAATTTGCCAACAAGTACACTGAAAATGTGTGACATTATCAAAAATTAATATTCACAGAATCCTAAAAGCAGAAAAGGGGAATTCTTTATTGATATTAGATCCATTTACTTGATTGCATTCTTTTTCAACTAGCCAATGGGAGAAGGAAAATATTCCTAGAATTCATTACGCCCGTGAAAAAACATTCCGAAGATTTTTGTAAAAGAAAGCTATCTATAACATGTTTCACCAGACGAGTTTGTCACTGATAAAAGTGTCAGTATATATGTTAATGTATAACGAAGAATATATAGTAGAAATTTCAGATAAAATGCAGTCAGATGTAACTACTGTTATAAATAAGATTTAGAAACCCATACCCAAGCATTTTGCAACAATTTAATCTATTTTAGTCAGTTTACTTTATTTCTATCATCCATTTGTAATAAAATTACTTTTCTTATATTTAATATTATAAAATTTATTATTTAAAGCAAAATGTTGATTTTCTATATCTCTCTTGTTGCTTGATTTCCTAGAAGGAATTAATGTAACACACACACACACACACACAAGTATTATAAAAAAAAATTAAGCCAATTCCTACTTAGGTCAACAAAGAAACATTTTATTTTTGCTACTTTTAATTAAATAATTATAATTAATATAAATATGTATACGAATTTGACATAATCACAACATTAAGTGACAAAATAAAAGGCGATTTTTTTCCTTTCTATGTATGGTGTTGGACAATTACTTTTGTAATTTTTCCAATAAAATAGTAAAAAGAAAACACATTCTCAGAAATTAGGTTATCTCAAGTGGGATTTAAACCCACACCCTTTGAATTAGAAGTCCAATGCGTTATCCATTGCGCTACAGGGACACAGCGAGCGATTTTCTTCTTTATGTATGCTGTTGGACTATTATTTTTGTTTGTTACTATTTATTCATTAATTAGATTGAACTAATGAATTAATATTTGAAAAAACTGTACTAACATCCACTACAAGTTTTAAAAAATGTATTTGAACTTGGGTTAATGAATAAAAAGTATTTTATTAACGATTGAAATATATATATATATATATATATATACATATATATATATATAGAATGTGAAAAACTATATATATATATATATATATATATATATATATATTGGAGAGTGTGAAAAACTATATATATATAATAGTAAGAATTGTGTGTGTGTGTGTGTGAAAAACACCTTTCAAATCGATAATCAACAGACACAAGTACTTGAATCCTAATATTTTAAAATAATATTTGAATAATCTAGTTTAAGTTGAAAAAATAAATCAACTTATTAGTTGCATTTTTAAGTAAAATTAACTGTATTGCTCAGAGATGGATATGTTTCAATAGTTAAATAGAGTCCAAGAAAAATTACAAATATATCATAATGTATGTTTTAAATATTTCTTCTAAGATTTTTTTTTTAATAATTTTGATTACAATATTGAACAGGCTATCATCATTCTGAAAAATATTAAATCGATGATATTACCTCTTACAAATTAATTTATCTCCAGTTCAATTATTCATTACACTTGCGGCTGTTGCTGTAGCAGCTGAAATTTATTGATTATTTATTAAAATATCATAACTATATGCATAATTAAATTGTGAAATATAATGAACATATATAGAGAGAAGGAGGTGTGCGTGTGTGTGTGTGTGAGAGAGAGAGATTCAAATAGTATATATTTTGATGATTTTGTAATCCATAATTATAAATTATTTGATAATTTTGATTTCATATGAAATTACTCCAAATAGTTCAATCTGGATTTTTTTTTAGTTTTTTAAATGATAAGAAAATAATGTGGAGACTGTAGTCATTTTTGAGTGTATGTACATATTCTTAATAAAGTCACATTAGAACCGAAAAGTTCTTATTAATTTTACTTCGCTTGTGCTTACACACACATATATACTTTTTCAAATACTTAAATATTAACTTTTTACCAATTCTATCCTTAAAAAAATTTACTGATTCTTGAATGTTCGTATGCTAAACAAATAAATATAAATCCACGATATTAATTGTTGTTTTTCTTTTACTGTGAGTATGTATAACTGTATAAAACATTACTATGTTTTTGCAGTATATATAAATGGTATACCTTACTCATTTTCTTAATCATTTATAAAGTCGAGGGAAGTAGACTTTTTTTCACCAATTTCCTCGTTATAATCTGTTTATCGATCTAATTTACAATTCATTTTGCAAAACGTAATATTTGTAAAATATATTTTGTAAATTTCATATGTTGTAAAATGCAAGAAAGAAATAAAAGGTATAAAGTGTCCTGCTTCCAAAAGCACAAGATGAGTTATAGAAAACATACTTTCCGCCATGAAAGAGGGTCTCAAAATTAATTTTTTCTAAAATAAATAAATTAATTTTTTGAAATAAACCTCAATCCATCACTTGAAAAAATGGTCCTGAGAAGGAATGAAATGGCTTCTGTCATCAGAGAAAAACTCAAAAATAAATCGATGCTTTGCAAAATAAAATTTCAATTTTAACTACATTCATTAACATTACAAAAATTGTAAATGTTATTTAAAAAATATACAAATGTGGGGGAGGGGTACATGCATAACCATGAAAAAGCGTTATTTTTAGATTATTTCTTCATTCCATATTCTTGGCCATAGAGCAGCTAAAAAAGTTTCTGCAACTCATTATTTGTCTATAGAATTTTAAAAAATAAACATCGAAATACATTTAAAATAATTGTTGTTCACCAAAAAAAAAACATAATGTCGATCAAAACCTCTTAGCTTTGAATCAAATAAAAGAATGTCATGAAGCTTTATTCTCAAAGAGGCACCTAAGTTTTAATTTTTTACAATACATTTACTGTACATTCCATCCTTAAATTGAATAATTATGCAAGAAAAAAATAATTTAAATATAATATTTTTAATTTATATAATTTATTATTATATAATATATATATTTAATAATAATTTAATATATATTTTTTTCAAGTCGAATTTTAGCTGCATTACGATTTTAAGTAATAATAAACAATATTAATTACACCACATATATCAAGGTAAGAATAATTGCAAGAAGGGCATAAAATATTACTTTTTATTGTATATTAAAAAGAAAAAAAATCAAACTTCATCCTGCTACATAAAAAAGAAACAATGATGTATAGATTTTCCAAAGAAATCAAAATCATTTTTAGGAATACTTTCTTTATTTTATTATACTTCTAACTCCCATGTCTTTTCTCTTTCTGCGTCCTTTAAGCTGTAAGAAGAGAAAAGGATATCTTCCCAATTTTACAGGTCAGCTCGTCGCTTCGGTCTATTTTCCCCAATACGCTAAAGAAACATTTTCTCTTAAAAAACCGTTACTTTTCACACTGCCAGACTTGAAAAGGTCAGTTTTACTTAAATAATAGTTATAAAGGGTGTTTTTTTAGAGGTATAGAGCTTTAAATTGCAATAAAATAACGATCTATTATTCGATTGACATGAATTTTTTTTATTCCAAAGATAATCTTGTGGCATTACATTTAAGATATGATTTCTGGCATAGAACTGCCACGGCTGGCTCGGATGTAGTCCAATCTGGACGTCCAATTTTCGATGACTTTTTCCAACATTTGTGGCCGTATATCGGCAATAACACGGCGAATGTTGTCTTCCAAATGGTCAAGCGTTTGTGGCTTATCCGCATAGACCAATGACTTTACATAGCCCCACAGAAAATAGTGTAGCGGTGTTAAATCACAAGATCTTGGAGGCCAATTCACAGGTCCAAAACGTGAAATTAGGCGGTCACCCAACGTGTCTTTCAATAAATCGATTGTGGCACGAGCTGTGTGACCTGTTGCGCCGTCTTGTTGGAACCACAACTCCTGGACATCATGATTGTTCAATTCAGGAATGAAAAAGTTAGTAGTCATGGCTCTATACCGATCACCATTGACTGTAACGTTGTGGCCTTCATCGTTTTTCAAAAAGTACGGACCAATGATTCCACCAGCCCATAAAGTGCACCAAACAGTCAGTTTTTCTGGATGTAACGGTATTTCGACGTACACTTGTGGATTAGCTTCACTCCAAATGCGGCAGTTTTGTTTGTTGACGTAGCCATTCAACCAGAAGTGCGCTTCATCGCTAAACAAAATTCGCGTATGAAAATCGGGAACAACGGCAATCTCGTTTTGGGCCCGTTCGACGAATCTAAAAGCGTTGTTCAGGCGTGAGTCTATTCATGATGAATTGCCAAACCAAACTGAGAATAAATCACTTGACAGCTGTTAAATCGGTCGCCCTCTTGGAAAGTAATGCCAACTTAAACTTCTATACCTGGGAAAAAAACACTCTTTATTTCCCTAAACAAAGCTCGTGTTCCTTAGTACACATTGAATCACTATCACAATCTATATTCTGATATATCCCTTGAGTAACTCAAATATCAAATGGTTTTAAAATATTACTTAAAAATTCTCTTCGTGTACCCATCAACGGATTATTAAAGTTTCAGATGAAAATTTATTCTTGATACTTTAATGAATATTCTACAAACGTTAAATAAATCGATAAGATGTTTAAAAAGTATTGAATATATATTTATATATATATATATATATATATATATATATATATATATATATATATATATATATATATATATACTGCTGGACAATTGCTAAGGACGGATAACACTATCATCCATAGCAACCACAAAATGAAAGGAAGTAAAATGTGGAAAATTAGAATAAGTGCGGGATATTAGTAAGAAGAAGTATGAGTATGCAAATTTTTTTTTTTTCCACGTCTGTTCATTACGTGATAGCGTTCATAAGAGCTTTAAAGGTTTTGACGCGTGTGGACAGTTGTTGTTTCAAGTCAAAGTTTTACAGGAAAGATTTAATAGACGAACTTAAAATTTTTGGCATGTCTTCCCGACATCACATAGATGATTTTATGCGTGGCCGAATTATTGGAAAGATCGAAGAAGGGCGAAAAAACAGATGTTACCAGGGAGTTCGACATCGCTCACAGCTTTGTTTCACGGCTGTGGAAGTCATTTAAAACTACTGGAATGTGTAGTAGACGGCACGGGGGAGGTCGTGTTAGAAGTACGACCCCTGCAGAAGACAGATATATCGTCCTATCAGCAAAAAGGAACAGGCGCACCACAGCTCAGCAGGTGGCAAATCAGTTTCTTGCTGCCTCAGGAAAGCAGATCTCCCGAAAAACTGTTGCCAGACGTTTGAGGGGAGGAGGACTATACGCACGCAAACCTGTTGTGTGTGTCCCATTGACCAGAAAGCACCGTACTGCCCGTTTGCAATGGTGTCGTTAACATCACAATTGGACTGAATAGGACTGGGCATGCGTACTATTCTCAGATGAGAGTAGGTTCAGTCTGTCATCGGATTGTAGACGCCAACTGATCTGGCGCGAGAGTGGTACTGCTTATCGTCCAGAAAATATCCAGGAAAAGGACCGATATCCGACATGCAGTATCATGGTGTGGGCCGGCATCATGATCAATGGCAGCACGCGCCTACATGTGGTTGTGAATGGGACTATGACGGGCCAACGATACATTGATGAAGTTCTACTTCCTCATGTTCGTCTTTTCCGTGGTGCTGTCGGTGATAAATTTGTTTTTATGGACGACAACGCAACATGTCATCGAACACTCGCTGTTCAGGATTGTCTAGACAGCGAGGGTATTCAACGTCTCGTATGGCCAGCGCCTTCTCCAGATCTAATCCCCATTGAAAATGTGTGGGATGCTTTGGGGAGGCAAGTTGCTGGTCAAAACTATCCTCCGACCAACAAGAACACCCTCATCCGTGCACTCACAGAGGAATGGGATAA